ACCCAAACTGAGGGACATTCCACAAGGTTACTGGCCTATACACTTCAAAAATTTCAAGGTCATGGAAGGTAAAGGACTGACTTATGCTTCTGGACTGAAGGAAAAAGAAGGAACAAATAAATGCAACCTGTGATCCTGGAATGGATCCTGAGTGGATTAAAAATAAACATGATTGGGACAACTGGTGAAGTGGAATGGAGTCTATGGATTACATGAATAATGCTGTATCCAAGTTAATTTCCTGATTTTGATGTTTATGCTGTAGTTATACAGATTGTATCCTTATGTTTAGAAAACATACATTGAAACATGAAGGAGGGGCTGGGGCTGTAGCTCAGTGGTAGAGCGCTTGTCTCACAGGTGTGAGGCACTGGGTTTGATCCTCAGCACCACAAAAAAATAAAGATATTTGTGTCCATCTACAACTAAAAAATATATTAAAATAAAACATGAAGAGTAATGGGACACACTGACTGCAACTAAAGAATTCAAATGGTTCAAAAAAATGTATGTGTATATATACACACGTGTATATGAGAGAAAGCTGGGATGGGTAACTGATAACTATGGGGTCTGCACGAAGAACACAAAAGAGCCCTATGTACAATTTTTGTAACTCTTTGGTCAGTTGGAATTAATTAAAAATAAACAACAAACAATTAGTTACAGAGAGACTCTAGGCTTGACAAAGTCAGAAAGGGGAACGGGGAGCTCTATTTTAACAAGCTGTTACAGGAACTCAGGAAAATGGGCAAAAATGGCATCATCAATAACTTCTCTGACTAATAAATAACACAGAATGGAGTGAAGACAGTGACTAGGTAGAACTCTCTTCTGCAGAATCAGTCAAGGGAAATCACTATATATTCCTGAGTAAAGATACTAACTTCTTCCTTGAACAAAAATAAAAATTGAGAAAACCACTTCAAGCATATAAAGACAGCTTAGCCTAATCTGCGTAAGAGGTGGCCACTGGGACTCTACTTCTTGCTTCCTCCCTGAGAACTGGTTCCTCAGGTCTCCTACTATTGCTTGGCTTTTGGTTGGGGCAGGTGCTGCCAGAATATTCCTTGGGCAGGTGGGAGGCTGGGGAGGTGAGAAGATGAACTCCATGCCAGGCCCAGAAGGAGACTGGCAACATTGATAATGTTGCCTACCTACACAGGAGTCCTAAACCAGATCATGGGGAAGGGTTTGGGGGTGTGGCTCAGTGGTAGAGCACTTCCCCAGCAATGAGCAAGGCCTTGGGTTAGATCCCCAGCATCACCAAAAAAAAAAAAAAAAAAAAACCAGAGAGAGAGAAAGAAACCAATCAGGGATCAGGGGAGGCAAGGCAGGAATAGTTCCTAAGCACCATTTACTGTGTGCAAGGACCACTACTGTCATCTTATTTCACTCTCACCACAAAACAATGACATAAGCATTATGAACTTCACTGTATAGAGAACAAAATATTGGAAAGGCTAAGTAGCATGCTCAAGTCCCAGACTAGTAAGTTCAGAGCTCCGATTCAAATCCAGGTCTATCTGGCACTCAGGTCCTCACTCTTCCACCATACTGTGCTTTGTGTCCTCTGGGAGCTGGTGAACAATCTAAGACTTTTCTCCTTTGATTTTTATAGTAGAGTAGTAACTGCACGAAATTAGTCCCACCTGAGTTCCTTTCCTAGCCTCAGGATTCTTTGACTGAGGTGGCAGAAGGGCTTCCTAAAAACCTCATGAAATTATACTCAAAACTAGTATGTGGGTATAATTGGACTCTTTTTTTTCTTAAACAACAAAATCTATAGTTTTCAATGGATTCTCAAAAGGATCTATAATTCACAAAAGGTTAATAACCACTGTTTTTGGCATCAATTTATCTGACTCCTCTGACAGAAGAGGAAATGGAGTTCTTAAACTCTATCTTCTACTTAAACTTCTGCCGTTTAATCTGGAGTCATCATAACATAACCTACTCAGTCCTCCTTTCTGAGGGGATGCTACTGCTTCCCTAGGGCCTAAAAACATCCTAGTGAGGCTGAACGCAGGCCAAGCACTGCATCTTTCATGGAGAAATGGAGAGGCCTGGAGGAAGGCAGGCCTGGTCTTTGCCCAAAGTATCATGAATTATGAGTACATTTTGTATGAATCAAGGTCATGTGAGAATGGATACCAGAATTATGATTCAGAAAAGTGACTCTTCAAATGAGGTAGGTCTTTTGGAAAGGATGTGGATATCTCAGACATGCTACAACCTTCTTGAAATAAGATTTATAAGAATTTGGGTTGATAAGACAAGATGGTGCTCTAATTGAAAATGGTCATCAAAGTGGGTTGCTTGAATCCCTAGTACCTTAACAGGAAAATAAATAATTAATCTTTTTTCTGTTCCTAAGTGGTATCTTACTTATTTTCTTTCTTTCCTTTTTTTTTTTTGAGACAGGGTCTTGCTATGTTGCCCAGGCTGACCTCAAACTCCTGGGCTCAAATGATCCTCCTGCACCAGCTTCTAGTGAAAGAGATCTCAGGCACCCACCATCAAGCCTGACCTGGGAGAAAACTTTTTTTTTTTTTCAGTGCTAGAGATCAAACTTAGGGCCTTGTGTATGCTAGGCAAGTGCATGACCACTGAGTTTCCCAATCCTGGGAGGAGTCTTTCTGAAGACAGAAGACAAGGTACTCTCAAAGAACAAAAACATCCATAGCAACCACTGCCCCTCTCTGTGCCTGCTGGAGATACTCCCAGTACACACAGAAGAGGAAAGAGAGCCTTCACGAGGCAATCAATGGCAAGGCAAGTTTTTTTCCCCTTGGGATGGGACCTTGTTTTTATTAATATAGAAGCCCTTATATAAAGTTTATTTTCTGGCATTTTAATATGAAGTACTTTATTAATCTATAAAATCAAATAAGTGAAAAATAATATTGTCCCCACTTCAAACATTCTCTTAAATCTTATAGTTTATACCGGAAACATTTAGAAACAAGTACTTATTAACTTATGAGAGAAACATTAAAAAAAAGTGAGGGGATATTGGGCAAAGTTTTCATATAGAACTGCCCTCAAGAGCTTTCTCACAAGCACTGCTGTTCTCCTCCATGGGACCTCTCTGTACTCCTCTCTGTACTCATTCGAGACCTCAGAGTCCAGGCCAGCTTGTCTTTGGGTAACCTGCCCTCTTTCAGAAACCCTACTTTTCCAAAATATGAGGAAGAGGTCTTCCTCCTTTCCTAATATCCCCAACATGAACAACAAGACACTGGAACATGATCACCTTCTGGCTGTGAAGAAACTGGATCATGGTGGGCTAATGTGTAAAAAATTTTGGAGCCCAGGAGTTTGTGAAAAGCACATATAGTAAATGGATAATCCATAAACTACAATAAGAATCCATGAGTCCATATTAACATAAATAAACAAATGGGGAGGAAAGTTCCTTACAACAGAACTCCAACTGGTAAGTCTAGAAGAAATGATGGAAACAATCGATATGAAGCAAACCTGACGATAATAATTGCTTCAGGCAAAAATAACAGAGGGATTCTGAAATGAGTGAACTAGCGCTTGATGAGAAGCAGGATATTTACATAGTTTCAAAGTATTCTCTGAAAGAAACTTAATATTTACAAGTAAAAAACAATACCTTCACAGTGGAAAAAGCTTGCAGGCTCCACTTTACAAAAGTGATCAAAGTTAACATCAGTAGTATTGGGATAAATCTACATGGTGTGCCTCCTGATACAATGCACTGTAAAGAATACAATCTCACTTTTAAAGTCATCTTGCCAAATAGGCAAGGGTTGAAGAAGAAACCTCTAATGGACATAGTGCTGCTACTGGCCTATAGTCCCAGCTATTTGGGAGGCTGAGGCAGGAATACTGCTTGAGCCCAGGAGTTCAGGACCAGCCTGAGCAACATAATGAGACACCACACCTGACTCAAAACAAAAAAAAAAAAAAAAAATATATATATATATATATATATATATATATATATGAAGAAACATCAAGCAAAAACTGGTCAATACCCTTTAAAAGAGTCTAGGCCATGAAAGATAAAGAAAAAACAAAAAACTATTCAAGATTAAGGGAGACTGAGGAGACCTGGTGGCTAAACACAAAATTATTAGAGGTCCTGGACCAGAAGAAGAACATTTGCAAGACAATATTACTTTTCTGATTTTGATAATTGTGATTATATACAATGTTAATAGTATCTGGGGAAGGGTATATGAGAATTTTTTGTTCTATTTTTGTAATTTTTTTGATAGTCAAAATTACTACTTGAAAACATATACTTTAGAGATAAAGCTTTCTTACAATGTCCAAAGCCTGACATTGTAAAGCTTTGTGAGCTGACAAATGTCAGAACTCAATGAGAGCTCAGTACCCACAAGGGGCTTCTGAGATTTATACGGGGCTGTATTATAGCAAAACTCAGACTTTTGGCCAGGTGTAATGACACATACCTATAATCCCAGTGACTACAGTGACTCAGGAGGCTAGGACATGAGGATCACAAGTTCAAGTCTAGCCTCAGCAACTCAGCAAGGCCCTCAACAACTTAGTGAGATCCTATCTTAAAATAAAAAATAAAAATAGGGGTTGGGTTGTGGATCAGTGGTAGAGCACTTGCCTAGCACAGATGAGGCATATTTAAAAAATACTAAATGAAGGTATTGTGTCCATCTACAACTAAAAAAAAAAAAAAAAAAATTCAAATAAATAAATAAATAAGTGGGTTTTAATTAAAAAAAACCCTCAGACTTCTGACATTATAGACAAAATAACTGATAATATTCAAAAGATATAAAAATATCTTTTTTTCTTTTTTTGTGATATTGGAGATAGAATCCAGGGCCTCTTTCATGCTAAGGTCCTTAATGAGCTCCAGGGAGGGTCACAGGTATATCAAGTCTCTCCTTTTGCTTCTGAAAGGAGTTGTGCCCTTGTAAGACTCAACATGACCAGAAGGTGTACAAATGCTGATTGAAATCAGCAAAGTGCCTGTCACTTACTTATCCTGGGACTCAATATACACATACAGATGAGGCTCAAAACACTTGGAAACAATGCCATGAAATGGGTTGTCTGGGACTTTAGGCTTCTTTGGCTGGAAGAAAAAAGAGAGAAAAAGTAAAGAGAAATCCAAAATTTGAGTAATCTTTGCAAATTTTCAAGCAATTTCAAAGAAAACATCACTTCAAAGTGTACTTTTAGATTATAGGTAAACAAATACTCAATGTAATGAAGTAGGAATATGTCTTACATTATGACTCATCCCAGTCTGTGAATGAGACACCAGCTTTGTTAGCATTATTTACTTGCTGTGTATGATGAAAGATTTACTGCTACTTAGATAACACATGCATTTTCATTTTGGCAGTTATTCATCATCTGATTGATATTTAAAATTTTAAATCCTGGCTAATCATAGCACCACCTTGTATTTGTAAGGTGTTGAAGTGCTTTCACATGATCTAATTCTAAGAGCCTCCATTTACTGATTGTTATGGGCCAAGTACTTCAATAATAAATAATGTCTCCTCTATTCCTCACAATAATCCATTAAGTGGGTCTCATTACTACTCTTCTACACCTCAAGAAATGGGGGCTCTGAGGTCCTGATAGTCTGCCCAAAAACATATAACAAAGCTTTTTATATCCTAAACTAGGACTCTTATCTCTCACATAAATGTTTTCCTACAATAGCTCTTAAACTTGGGGGTTTTAATGACAAATAAACATAATAAATAGAAGGGTAGAGAGGGTTAGTACAGAGGGTTGCTAACTTTTTGTTTTGCTACTTTCTATCCTTATCACAAATTCATAAAATAAAATATTTTATATGCCCAAATTTTTAAAAATTAATTAATTTTTTTATTCTAATTAGGTATATAACAGCAAAATGCATTTTCATTCATTGTACACAATTGCAGCACAACTTTACATTTCTCTAGTTGTACATGATGTAGTGTCACATCATATGTGCAGTCATACATGTACCTAGAGTAATGATGTCCATCTCATTCCACCATCTTTCCTGCCCCCCTGCACCTTCCCTCCCCTCCCTCCCCTTTGCTCAATCAATGTTCCTCCCCCATCCCCATTATGGATCAGCATCCACTTATCAGAGAGAATATTCGGCCTTTGGTTTTTGGGGATTGGCTTACTTAGCTTAGCATGATATTCTCCAATTCCATCCATTTACCTGCAAATTCTCTTTTAATGCTGAATAATGTTCCATTATGTACATATACCACAGTTTCTTTATCCATTCATCTATTGAAAGGCATCTAAGTCAATACACAGTTTACTATGGTGAACTGAGCTGCTATAAACATTGATGTGGCTGTGTTACTATAGTATGCTGATTTTAAGACCTCTGGGTATAGATCAAGGAGTGGGGCGCCCAAATTTTATAAGACTAAAATAGCAGCATAAAGGCAGTCCTTTCTGGGCTGGGGTTGTGGCTCAGTGGTAGAGCGCTTGCCTAGCATAGGCGAGGCCCTGGGTTCGATCCTCAGCACCACATAAAAATAAGTAAATAAAAGATATTTAAAAATAAAAAATAAGGCAGTTCTTTCCAAGAAAGGATGGTTGGTAACCTGGCTTGGGGGGTAGGGATAGGGGGTGGTGGTGGGGGTGGGGGTGGGAGGCAGACTATCTTGTCTATATTTTTTATCATAGAGCACTGAAAAATAGACCAGTAACTGGTCCCTATACTAATACTTGAAAATCACTGATAAATAAAACATTTGGCATTATAAAAACTGTATTTGCTATAAAATTCCTTTCCAGGACTGAGGATGTAGCTCAGTTGGTAGAGTCTTGCCTCACGTGCACCAGTCCCTGAGTTCAATCCCTAGCACCATCCCCCTACCAAAAAAAAAAAAAAAAATCCTTTCCAAACATCTAAAAAAAAAAAAAAAAAGTAAGGATCTTCTCACATATTACTTTCTATTCCTAAAAAAAGTCAATTCTGTCCATTGTCAAATGCCAACAAAAGGATTCTGAGCCAAAGACATCTTACTTTGGTTGATACTAGAGTAAAATTTGGTTTATAAGTTGGCAGCCATAACCTATTTGATGAATGAATTACACATATTGTTTTTGTTAAGCCATTTTAGTGAGATATGAATAACATAAAAAGCTGTACAAATTTAATATATACATCCTCATGAGTTTGGGAATATGTATACATTTGTCTTAAAATACTTAATGTATATATCTTTTTTAAAAAATATATTTTTTAGTTGGAAATGAACACAATACCTTTATTTTACTCATTTATTTTTATGTGGTGCTGAGGATTGAACCCAGTGCCTCACACGTGCTAGGCAAGCGCTCTACCACTGAGCCACAACCCTAGCCCCAATGTATACATCTTAACATTAGTTAAGTATACACTCATGAAACTGGCACCACCATCAGAGCCATACCCATTACCTTCCAAAGTTTTTTCCCACTCCTATTATTAAGTATACTTAAGATCTACCCTTTTAAACTGTCTCTATCTTTTAATAAGTACTGGAACAGCCACTAGAAGTCCCCAAAGACAAACAGAAATAATAGTTACCTTTTCTGGCCATTTCTCCTGTTGTTGTTTATAAAACAATGCAATGGTTAAAAACATCTGTAAAAACTGATGATAATTACCACAAATTAAATGTCAACTTTAGACCCATTCAATCTCGTGCTCAGCTCTCTTCCTTTTTCACCTTTCAAGAGTTCCCTATCTTTAATTTTTTGGCATGATTTCTAGAAACTCTGGTCCTTCTTGACTACACTCTGGCTTGTTTGCTCTCATCATCTGGAAGCCACTGCCAAAGTCAGGCCTTAGGTGGAGATTGCAAGAGGGCCTCAGGGAATGTACAAGACTAGTTTATCCAGTTTGAATCTGCTGTACCCAGAGATGCCCTGGAAACTTTTTGTGCTTCCATTAGTTTAAAATGCAAGACCCACAATGAAGAATGCAGGTAATGAGGGAAGGCTGTCACCCATTTGTTCTACCTTTTGTAAGTCAGTATCTCCTTCCCTCCCTCCCTTTCTTTCTTTTTTTTTTTTTTTAGTATTTATTTTTTAGTTGTAGTTGGACACAATATCTTTATTTTATTTATATTATATGGTTCTGAGGATGGAACCTAGGGCCTCGTACATGCTAGGCGTGAGCTCTACCACTGAGCCACATTCCCAGCCCCTCTTCCTCTCTTTTTGATAAGGTAATTCACTAGGGGCTGGGGTTGTGGCTCAGCGGTAGAGCGCGTGTCTATCATGTGCGAGGCGCTGGGTTCAATCCTCAGCACCACATAAAAATAAATGTATTGTGTCCAATTGCAACTGAAAACAAAATATTTTTTAAAAAAGGTAATTCACTAAATAAATTTTAAAATGTGATTTAATTTGTCTGACTTTGTATGACTACATCTTGACTTTAGACTTGAAAAATATGGTCACTATACCCAGTTATATTTTTACTAATAAAACATAATCATCATAAGTATAATTATTCCTTTGATTTAAATTTTTTTGCCTTTTCTTGGAAGAAAATATTCACACTTCTGCAGGATATGTTCTGGTAATTATAAATGAGTTTACATAAAAAAGAATATTCTCATTTTTACATGTATATATTGTATCTGGTTTTTGGACATACAAATTTATGTGCAATTTCCCAATTAAACATTGCTGACAGGGTTTTAATGCATCATTCTGAAATGGCTACCTTATGAAATTTAAATAAAGTCTTTAAAGAATAATATACTACTGGTGTTCAATTTTCTGTGTGGTATTTTAAATGAATGTTCTTGGGAAATATATGCTGAAATATTTAGGAGTAAAGGGCATATGTCTGTAACACTTCCAAATTGTTTTGCAATAATGAGGAAAGGAGAAAGAATAGGGAGGAAAAAATAAAGTAAACGTAGCAAAATATTAACAATTGCTGAATCTAGATGAAAGATATTTGAGAGTTCCTTATAAAATTCTCTCACCTGTTTTTTAAAAAATATTTATTTATTTATTTAGGTGTAGTTGGACACAATACCTTTATTTTATTTATTTATTTTTTTATATGGTGTTGAGGATTGAACCCAGGGCCTCACATGTGCTAGATGAGCGCTCTACCACCGAGCCACAACCCCAGCCCCTTTCACCTGTTTTCTGTTTGAAATTGCTTTTTAAAAGTAAGGAATAACAACAAAAAAACTTCGGGGAATGGGTGCCACTGATCTGGCAAAAAAAACTGCAGATACAACAGCAGGACATTTCCCCCAACCCCAGTACAGTGACTTAAACACAAGAGTGCTCTATCACTGAGCTATACTCCCAGCCCTTTTTATTTTGAGACAGGGTTTCCCTCAGTTGCCTAGACTGGCCTTAAACTTCTGCTCCTCCTGCCTCAGCCTTCCAAAGCTCTGGGATTACAAGTGTGTACCACTGTTCGGGGCAGTAGTGGGGCATTAAGAAACACCCCATTGCCAACACATTCCAAAGCTCAGAGAACAACAGTGTGTGGAAAAACACAGGCATCCAGGCCTGAGAAAGAGGTTTGGACCCATTTTCTACTTCTGATGATCACTCTAGTTCTGCTTGCTGTCACTACTGGAGAAGGCTGAGAGACGAGCACACAGCATTGCTCTGTACTGTTTGCAACTTCTGAGTCTATAGTTATTTGAAAATATAAAGCTGTTTTGGTTGCTTGTTTTTTGAGATGCGAGTCTTGCTATGTTGCCCAAGCTGGCCTGGAATTCCTGGGTTGAAGGGATCCTCCTGCCTTAGCCTCCTGAGCCATTAGAAATAGGTGTGCAACACCATAACCAGCAACATAAAGCTTTTTTAACAAATAGTTCCAAAGAGCTGGACCCTGCATGTGAAGAAATTTTAGTAATATCTTAATCTATTTATTCTGCTTGTAGTTTCCTCTTTTTTCAATGTATGCATTAAAGCAATACATGAAAAAATTATGCCTGAATAGGTCTAAGGATTCATTTGGTATTAAATATAGACCCCGAGTGATATAATAGAATGACTTCCTGGTATTCCAACCAACTCATCTTGATGAGCCTTCACAGGTCACGCTTGATAAGGTCCCAGAACACTCCAAAAGTCACAAACCAGACAGGGCTGGTGTCCCAACCCCACCTACAGGTGACTGCTCTGCCCTGCCTCTGCCCACTAACAGTGCTCATCTGCAGTGTGGAGAGGTCATTCAGTCCTGTCACCACAACATGGAGGCCCTCTTCCAGCATTTTTAGTGTGAGCTGAAGAAAGGGGGCACAAACTGCTCAAATTTCTTTTTCTTACTTTCCCCCCCCCCTCCTGCCTATAGCTGTTTCATGAATGTGCTCCTATTTATATGGTAGGTGCTGGAATTTCAGCTCAAACTGGTGTCTTCCTTTGCACTATGCAGCTCCCCAAAGGGTTGATCCTTGGCTTAAAGAATACACTAAGTCATTTAGCAGTAGCATTCAGGCTGGATTTCTGAGTGTGTGAATTCTGTCCAAAAGCTGCAGATGTTTAAGCTATTTCCTCCTGGAGTTTGATGGAATAATAAAAGGTTACTGTTGTCACAGTAAGGAGGTCTGCAGCTGGTCCCATTTCCTTTCATTATTATCCAATGTAAACAGATTAAATCTAACTGCTTGGATCACCAAAAGGGTACATTTTTAAACCAGAGATTCCTGATTTCTTCTTTTTCAGTACCCTTGGTTCCCTTTCATATGTCATTTTTTATCACTGGGAATATCTTGGCAACAAATTGTTCATGCCTCCTTTAAAGTGAATACTGCTTTGCAAGTTCACCCTCTCTTCTCAACAGCCAGGCTTAGCTACAGTACTGAGCAGGGAGTGACCCTTACCTTGAGGGCCAGCTGCCTACCGATTGCAGCAAGGGAATAACTTGGGTCACTCAGGGCAACCAGGAGGGGTTTTCCACACAACCACCTCTGGCTGGTTCTCGGCTGACATCCTATGGAATCCCTCCCCAACATCCCACAGGTGTCCTGCTCTTTCTGTGCACCCAACTCTAGAAGCCCACAGGCTTTTGAGAAGAGGGAGGTCCTGGGGCTCCACCTAACCTGCCAGAGACAAAGACAAGTGCTGGTGAGGCATGGGAGGCTGGGGATGACATGTGAGGAGGCATTAGTCACTAGTGTCAACGTTTTATTACTAATGAGGAACAGTCCATGAATTACTGGTGGACCATCTAGACCAGGAGTTTCCCATTTAGTTTAGTTTTTCTTTTCTTTTCTTTTTTCTTTTTAAAACAGACATAAAACCCCAGGATCAAAAGAAATTTTACCTAGAATTCCACAGTACAATGTGACTAAGAATAGAATTCCTCTGGCTACAGACCCAGGTCTCTATTCTCTCCCAATTCCCCACCGTTACATGTGACAGGATATCAAGGAATAGAGTTTGAAAACTATTAGCTATCTCTAAAGATAAAGAAAGCAGGAAAGTCTAGAGACAGTAAGTAAACTATCTAAGGTCATGGTCAGTTAATGGCAGACCAGGGTCCAGCACCTCCTCTACCACACGGCTCTGCCTTACACCATGTATTTGTCAGATGTCAGAGTTCTGTACCTTAGAATGGGCAGGTCTTAGTCTTACAAAAACTTCAAGCTTTTATAATATGCAAAAAAGTTCCAAGAGACAGAAAAATCTTAATTTACCAGGAAAAACTGATTTCCTAGATAATGGAAAAATCTATCATAATCCAGCATAATAATATCTAGAGATGACCAGCTAAAGGGAAATCTTCTCACAGCAGCATGAAAAGCATCTGAGTGCTCGCCTGCACAATTCTGAACATGATAATGGCTGCAACTAGTACTGGGGAGACACCAGGGCCCTGCAAATGGCACGAGTGCACAAAGCATGTTCTTAGGATACAGGTGGCCAAATGAGGAAGAAGGAGACCCCTCCACCCTGAGTCCTGGCTCTCACAATGTGGGAACTGCATTTCTTTAGATAGAAGAATTTTTTTTTCCTCCCACGCTAGCCAATCATATGATGGTTTTAAATCAATCACGCTTATTCCCACTTATCTTTGGGATACAGCCTCAAGATATCTCTTCAGTGTTGTTCATTCACTTGTATCTATGAGCTTTCTATGTTCTTCTTTTTAATGAGATATGAAGGTATTTAAAAACAAAACAAAAAACAGCCTTTTGGAAAAAAATTCTAGTTTCTGACTTCTAGACATGACTTCCAGTCTTAGCTCTTCTTTTTCTAAATTATGTGACCCTGGACAAGTCACTAGGCTCTTTGTGCTACAGTTTCATCACCTATAAAAAAAGAGGCAGGCACTGTGAAGGCAAAATGAATTACGGCCTGTAAAAGATTTTTTAATTACAAAGCACCACAAAAATGTGAGGTGTCCATGTAATCACAATTATTTAATCAGTGGACCAGACACATTTTACTGCTCCATGTATTCCACTTTCTTGGCTCCTGCCAGGACTGCACACCTACCCTCACCATGCTAGGAACACAGGGCCAGCAGCAAAGCATGTGGCTATGGGTTTCCCAAAGCCTCCCTTTTGGTGGTGCCTGGAGTAAAACAATATCATAAAGTAATCCTCTAGCAGCCAAGTGTAGAAAATTAAAAAGAAGGATCACTTATCCAGAAAGGAAATGTTCTGATTTATTGCTCTAACTTCTCTTGTCATAAAATGGCAGGGAAACAAAAACACCATTCTGTAGGATGAAGGGAGAGGAAATTTAGAGCTGGACAGAAAAATCAGAAGGAAATTAAAGTTCTAGTGTGCTTAGAAAAGTAACACTCCAAAGATGCCAGTGGTCACCTTGATATTTCCAGGCCTCCCCAATGGCTTCCAGACCTAAAGTGATCAACTTACGCTGCATGGAGGCCTCTCTCAGCCCAGGGTGCTGCTAACTATCCCCCAGGATCTTTCAGCCTCTCACATCATCACAGTACCACATTAGAGTGCATCGGAAAGGGACGCTGACAAGTTCAGGAGATGATGAATGGGGCAGAGTACAATCGTGCCCTGCCTCAGGGTCTGATTAAGCTTGTGAGCCTTGCTGAATGCTGGAGGTGAGGTTCTTTGGGAGCAAAGAGCAAGGGTGGGAAGGGCTGCTTTTTCTGTTTTCTGAATACACTTCCAGATAAAGGCCCTCTATAAAGACCACCACTACTATCATCTCTGAATGTGGGTAACAGCCAAAGGATCATACATGAAGCTAGCCAATCCATTCTCAGACAGGAAGACTGGGTAGGTTACACATGGTAACGCAAAGCAGACTTACTTGATCTAACTCTCCCTTCTCGATTGCCAGCTCCTCCATCTCTGGTGCTGACTCATCTTCCAGGAAGGGGTTGGTAGATGGTGGTGGAGACTCGAGCTTTTTCTATTAACAAGACACGAGACAGTTATCTTCTAAACATGTCCAACAGACTTCCCACCAGTCTTCTGCTTTTTCCAAGTCTCCCTGATAGCTACGTTAGGATGGATCACAGTCTTACTTCCAGGCCTTCACGTCTTTTCATCTTCTAGAAACATTACTGTTCACCTTACTCTGATTCTAATCTAGCTAAAATTCTCATTCATCCTTCAGTCCTCAACTTAGAAGTCTCCTCTTCTGGGAGACTTTTTCTGTCAAGTTTGGGTTAGATGTCCCTGGCATGTGTTCCCATCCCATCCTGTACATCCTCTCCCCGGGTGATTTATTAAAATACTACAATTGCTTGTTTGTCTTCTGGCACTAGATGCCAACATGGAGAGATCCTATCTGTCTACCCCCCCATCCTATCTTTGATGTCTGGCATGTAAAAGGTGCTCAAAAAACAAAAATGAATCCAAATGCCACATGGATTTGAATTCAAGAACAAACTACAAAGCTGGGGCTGGGATTGTGGCTCAGCGGTAGAACACTCGCCTAGCACAGGTGGGATCTGGGTTCGATCCTCAGCACCACATAAAAATAAAGGCATTGTGTTGTGTCCATCTACACCTAAAAAATAAATATTAAAAAAATTTAATCTCGTCTGTTCTACATTACAGAAAGAAGTCCTTCCCAAATAAGTCCCATTACAACCACGACAGAAATCACCTTCAGAAAAACTATTTCCCAGCTCCTGAACAGGATCACTATTTCAAAATATAACACTGAGCAGGACCATGGGCTAATGGGAAAGCCGGGGGCAGGAGACATGGGTTTTTGTTCCAATTTTGCTATATTGGCAAAATCACCTAGCCACAGGAGCTTCCTCTGCTGAATAAGGACATAGTCACAGGACTGTTTGAAGGATCAAATGTAACAAAGTGTGTGAAACCCTAGAAGAACCACATGACATATACAAGGGTCACTGATGATGCTAATTCCAGTGCAACTATAGAATCAAGACAGCTCTTTTGAATTTTTTTTTTACAATTTTGACCTACAGATGTTGTTTATGCTTAGGTGCTGGGGAGTTTTAGCAGAAAAGAAGCCAAATGGACAATCAGGACAAAAGGGATTGGTTGGCACCAGGGATGAGATGGTGGGTCAAGGGATGGCATCCTTGAGACAAGAAGCTAAGGGGAGAGGGAGTTTCTGAATGTACTTATGTCACTTTAACATACCAGTGGAGCAAACTGAACTAATTCCTATGCCAAGAGGGACAGCAGATGGACGATGTGGTGACTTACTGTCAAGTAATTATCACCTGAAGGTGATAATTTTTGTTACAAACAAAAAACAAAAACAAGTCTAAACACACACAAAAAGAACTGCATCAGTATTTGCTTTGGGCTTTAAGATAATTCTGCTTACACTCATTTAAATGACTTAGTTGTCAAAAACACTTGGAAATGCTATTATGTAGAGAAACAATAGCCCTCACTTAAGAAGAAAGCCTTGGGCTAGGGTTGTGGCTCAGAAGTAGAGTGCTCACCCAGCATGTTATGAGGCACTGGGTTCGATCCTCAGCACCACATAAAAATAAAATAAAGATACTGTGTCCACCAATAACTAAAAAATAAATATTAAAAAAAGAAGAAGAAAGCCTTGTGATGACTGCATTAGCTCAAGGTAATCACTAGTAAGACAATAATTTTTGCAGTATCGTGGTGAGACACAGTATGATCCAACTAAGCAAGCATTTCATGTTTGTATCCTCTGAACTTTGGCTTCTTTACCTGAGATATGGGAGGGGGGGATCTGCATAAATAAAGTTTACTTTAGAAAGCAAGTAAGTGGCACACACCTATAATCCCAGCAACTTGAGAGGCTGAGGCAGGAAGATTATTATTTAGAATAAGCTTTAGCTGTCATTTCATGTACTGGTATTTTAAGGAGAGAGGACTAGGGATAAAGGGAATCTACCATGTCTAAGCTTCAACAATAATAAAAAATTAATTAAGCCAGGCATGATGGCATGCACCTATATAGTCCCTGCTACTCATGAGGCTGAGGCAGGAGGATCACTTAAGCTCAGAAATTGAAGACATGACTGGATAATATAGTAAGACCCATCAAAAAAATTAAATTAGTTAATAGCATTAAATTCCTGATTTCCTGGCTTAATTTTGGGATCATACTATTGAACTGAGGCACTATAATTCTGAATTTTTTGATGCTCTGTAGATGTGGAAAGACATACTGTTAGCTAAAATTAAAGCTTTGATCAACCATTCAGTGATAGAAACAGAGTTTGAATTCTTGACTGTTCCTCATCTATTGCTAATTCACTAGGGCTGATAATATCTCACAATTATATACAGGTGGGCCGAGTTTTTTTTTTCCCCTGAGAATCGAACTCAGGGGGTGCTGAGCTACATCCTCAATCTTTCTTTTTTATTTTTTGGCTGGGGGCATACTGGGATTGAACTCAGGGGCATTTGACCACTGAGCCACATCCCGAGCCCCATTTTGTATTTTATTTAGAGACAGGATCTCATTGAGTTGCTTAGCATCTCTCTTTTGAGGCTGACTTTGAACTTGCAATCCTCCTGTCTCAGCCTCCTGAGCCGCTGGGATTACAGGCATATGCCATGGTGCCTGGCATATCCCCAGTCATTTTCATCTTTATTTTTTAAATTTTGAGACAGGGTCTACGTTGCTCAGGTTGGATTCTAAATAATAATCTTCCTGCCTCAGCCTCTCAAGTTGCTGGGATTATAGGTGTGTGACACTGTGCCCAGCCACGTGGGCCTCAGTTAAAAAACACAATGTGTTACTGAAAATCATGACGAAATTGGAAGTCAGGGAAATAAGCTGGGGTGTTCCTGGGCTCTTTTGGTGGAAAGAGTCAAGTGAATGGATAAAAGCAGAAAGGGGCACAACATAAAAAGGCAGCACTGAACAAGCAGAGCAACTTCTTAGATAGTATAAGCACAGACTACATATCTTTCCTGGGCCAGAGGTTCCCCAAAGCTTCTTTCCTACTTCTACAGCCTGTCTCTATTAATGTAATGATGAATGGAGTGATGAGGAAGTCACAGACACCAGGTGCCCCTGGCCCATTTAGGTCACACACATTCCAAGTGGGGACCGAATCAGTGTAAGAAAAATGCTTTGTTCCTTCATATCATCTACTCAACAAATGAAGTACTGGGTACTTAGGGGAAAGCAATGAGGAAGATAGACCTATTCTGTCCTCATGGAGTTCAGAGTCTGCTGGGAAAAACAGGCTTTAATCAAATACCCACACAATCATGTAATAAGACCTTTGAAAGAAAAATATAAGTTGTAACTAAAGTATGAAGCAGAGGAGATCACAGGAAATTCCCAAAGGAAATGATATTTGAGCCAGAATTGATGGATGCCCCAGAACTAAATATGTGAGGTGGATTAGAAGAAGGGGGTAGGGAAGAGCTTTTTAGGCAGAGGAAATAGCATGTTTGTCATTTGTTCAAAAATCATATGCTGAGCATCTACTCTATTCCAGGCATCCTTCCTTGCACCAGGGATGCAACAGAAGAAAGAAAGGCAAAGAAGAGAGGCACTGTGATGCAAATAAAGTTTAGGAACTAGGATGGGCTGGGAGTGAGTATGGGGAAGTCTTCTTTATATAGAGTGATCAAATAAGGCCCCCTTTCGGGAGGTAACAGTAGAGCAGAGATGTAAATAAGGAGAAGGAGCTAATCAGACAAAAATTGAGAATGAATATTCCCAGCAGAGGGATCTGGTGCAAAGGCTGGACAGAGCTAGTGAGTCTGAAGGATAGAGGATGACACTGGGCATGAGGTAAGAGAAGTAGCAGGAGCCCAATCATATAGCCCTTAGTTGGCCATCAGGTTTTCTTCTTATTGCAAGTAAGCATTCATTGGGGGTTTTACACAGTGAAATGAAAAGATCTCATTTTTTTTTTTTTTTTAAGTAGACACTGGATCTTGTTCTGTTGCACAGGTTGCCTGGCCTTGAACTCGAACTTGAACTCCTGGGTTCAGATGATCCTCCTTCCTCAGCCTTCCAAGTTGCTGGGACTACAGCTGCATGCCTAACATAGACTTCTAAAGTATTGTGGCTGAGGATGTGGCTCAAGCGGTAGCGCGATCGCCTGGCATGCGTGCGGCCCGGGTTCGATCCTCAGCACCACATACAAACAAAGATGTTGTGTCCGCCGAAAACTAAAAAATAAATATTAAAATTCTCTCTCTCTCTCTTTAAAAAAAAAAATAAATAAAGTATCATTCCACTGCCATGGAAAGAATGGACCACACTGGAAGCAAGAAGACCAGTTTGCAAGGCTGCTGCAGTATTCCAGGCATGGGGACTGAGAGGGACTGCAGTACACTGGTGACGTGGATAGAGAAAAGTCTCCAGATTCAGAACACAGGAGAGAGTGAGCAAAGAGAAACTGCTGAGAGAGTGGAAGTGAGGGTGAGGGGAGTACAGGGACCATGCACTTTTTGGCCTGAGCCACTGCAAAGCTGGTGCTGCCAATAACTAAGATGGGGAACACTTGTGTAGTGCTGAGGGCACAGATGCTGGACCTGACAATCCTGAGCTCAAGTCCAGGCTATACCATTTGGAAGTACTACTGAACTTTTCGGTACTTTTAAAATTGCCCCAGTTCTCTTCTCTGCAACACAGAGGGACACTGACACCTGGCTCACAGAGCTGTCAGGAGGACTAAATGAGATAATGTACATTAGACATAAGAAAAGCAGTTTAATACACCATCTGGCACATAGGGGAAAGATCATAGGGGGAAGCTGAGTACGTGGAAGTTTTTATTAGCATTTAATAGGCATGAGCAGAAGGGCCAAGCCTCTTAAAGCAGCAACTTGCAGAAGGGAAAAAAGTGAGAGTGCAGGCTGAAAGTCTTATAACTACCACAAGTGTCAGCCTGTCTCCACTGTCTCCCTCCTTGGGATCTCTCCAGGAAGTGAAAGCAACGGGCCTATGAATTCACAAGTGCAAAG